TCAGATAAATAACTATGTGCTGTAATGTATTTAACCTTTATGGTCTGACAACTATTTATATTATAAATTATGTTCTGCAATTTCAATGTTCATTTTTGAACTTTATATATACACTAACCTAGGTCACCAATAATCAGTTTTCAATACAAAATTCGAATAAGTTTATCATAATTACAGCAGGATTTTGATATTACCTAATGTAGTTCATTAATGTATATTAATAATACCTAATTATCTACCGGTTAGTGTTTGACATTTTCATTATTCAATTTTATACAATTTAAAAGTTGATACAGACTGAAAAAAAAATTCAGTCAAACAACTATGTAATTAGTACCATTATCAGCAATCACTTTAATCAATTTGTATAGTAAACAAGTACAGACATAAAAATTTAGATTGTTCAATGTAGTTCATTGATGCTATATGTAAAATAAACGAATTAGAATAGAATTAGCTAAAAACTAACTAATCACCTAAGAAAAATTAGAAACTTGTTTTATACCATCCCACAGCACAGAGTTAAGCTTACTTAAATTATGTATATGGGAAACATGGAATATTCATGTTTTGGTGTATAACTTTCACTTATAACTATGTTATCTAATTCATAAGACTTCCTATAAAAGGCTAAAATCCAACGGAATTAATTTAATTATATAACTAATTTGTCTGAGATTACAAAATGGTCATCAGTTTATAGTTAATAGTCAATGCGTAACCAAAATCTTTTTAAGCTCAATAAAGAACTCATTGTATGAATATACCAATCTATTTGTTGTTCACTTAACCTTCATCTGCCAATAACAAATATGTTATGAATTTAGGAATCATAGATTTTTTAAACAAATTATTGTTTGATATTTAACAGTGAGATAAATAACATTAAAAAATACATTTTTTATGCAAAGATGGATAGTGACTAGCAATGGAATCCAGGACGCATGTTTCGTCCTATTCGGGACTCGCCAGCTGGATGTACCTGCATCCCAGATTTGATGTTCACCTCGGGAAGATACAAGTAAAACAACACCAAGTGAATATAAAATACACCATTTCATCCATATAATTAAACTTGAATAAAGAGATACGCTTGTACATGAGTCATTTCTGTCGTTTTTTCTTCAAAATTTCTTTCCTTCTAATTTTGAGACTAAACTTTCAAGTTTTCTTGCTTACCTGCATGTATTTCTATTTACTATAATTTGACAGAATGAAGTCACTTTCTTTGGTATACTATCCAATTATGTAACAGAATAACTTGATGAGAAGGCTGTTGAATGAATTAGGCATTAGAGATTTTATTCAGGATAATAATGAAGCTCAGTGAAATTGTCTAGATTAGAGACGACAAAACCACCAAGAGATCAGTAATCATCAATTTCTTTTTACTTTCAAAATGCAGATGATGGACATTTTGACTATGAAGAATATCACATTAGCTCAAAGTGAAACCAATAAGTTAGAATTATTTTGCGACAAAGATAATAAAAACCGATATCTATATAACGTGGATATAGACATCAAAACGTTATTCTTTCGATTAAACTGCTCTCGAAACTATCTAATTATATTTATTCTCATGAGATTATCTTGAAATAAAACCTGGACAAGATTGCCAGGCGAAACGTTGGATTTACTTCAAATTCATTCGCTGAGATTTTACAAATACATTCTTCCTCTTTAATGTCTCACATCAACTCGGCGCCCAAATATTGTGAAACTATTTTATCAAATTTAGACGAAAGTTCTTAGTTATTAAAACTTTACCAAACTAACAAGTTATAATAAAAATGGTCTGTGACCAAAATAAGGTGGATAAGCAAAAAAGAAATTTGACATAATAACAGTGAACATGGGTTTCAGCTGCCTCGACGCCACTTGTATCAATTCCACCATAGCTTATTCTCTTCTCTGAAAATCTAGTGATAGTCTGTAAATAATAAGGAAATATTCAAAGAAGGCATTAAGTGAAAAGTGGAGATACGCTTTTTGTGACGCCAAAGACAGGTGTAATTAATGGCTCACACATCACTGCTCTTTGGATACGATATATATTATGCAGACTAGTGACTTGGAACATTATTAGATGCAGCCAGAATTTATAATAAACGAGATCTTATTACAGTATTCCCATAAAAACCACTGAGATGTTTTCGTTAGAGTAAAGAAATCTGCTTAACATTATTACTTGGACTGTAATTTTCTTTATTTTCACTCCTTTAAAACTCTAAAAAACTATAGTTCTTTTGAGTGTATAACATATTTATTAATGGCCAACTTCATCGGATGTTTTTTATGAATTAAATATATAATAGATGACTTTTAAATAAACAATCACAAAGGCATTAAGTCGTTTGTTATTTATAGTTCATCACATGCTTGCAACTTCTTAGAATTTTACTATTAATAAGACCAGTGAGCTTATAGTGTCATATTAAATTAAATCAGCGAAAATGAGTGATCTTTGTCATCATAGAGTTTACCAGATTAAAAAAATTACTCATTTCTAACATGATTTGTCGTTTTGCAAGTATTGATAAATTGACAGATTATAATGTTATCTAGATCATATTATTAAAACAAATGAACATTTGAACTGATAATCTTTTTTTCGATAATAATAATAGTTTGAGAGCGTAATTTGAAGAATCAGGTTGTTCTATCTACAAAATTTTCCGGATGTAAAACGATGGGTTCAATCAGTAATCAAGCGAGAACTTTGACTAATTGTACTGAGGTTCCGATTGAAAATCAAATTATGATTGATGGGATCAGGATAGTTAGCAAGTGATATGTACTTCTGAGCAATATAAATAAAGTGAAAGAAATCGCTTTATTCATCACAGGCTGATGATACAACTCGGATCAAAGTAAGTGGAACGAGAATCGAACCTGTGGCCTAGTGGTTCAAAGTTGAACGCCTCGACTTCCTAGCCACTGCTTCACAAAAAATCTGGATTCTGAATCTTCGTAAGACCCTGAACATTTCTTATTCGAACATTAAGCTTTATGATGAAATCTTAGATATTAAAGATGATAGAACTACTAGAATGGCTTGTACGAAAGATTATTTGAGATATATATAATGTTTATTATTGAAAGATCAAGGTTTTTGTTCAGTTTACAATATACGAATCCTGAGTAAAGTACAAAATAAATAGAAAACGTCCAGTTTTCTACAATTGGCATAACATGCTATCAAGCTATTCCAACGTCGACTTTACATAAAAAATAAACGTATTTCTAACTTTACTCTGACATCCGTATTTCAAATTTGTTATACGATCTCATTAGCTTCAGCTTAGAATACAACTAACGTTTCTCGTTTACCTTCATTTCTAACCTACTGGCTTGTCGTGTGTTATAATCGTTATTATAAATCTTGTCGTATTCAGAAATCATTATTTCTTTAAAGACTAACTGTAAAATTCCTCATCTAATTATGCTTGCTAATTAGTCAATGTAGTATTATAAACTAATTCATATAAAACAGTTAATTACTTTCCCCTACTAAAATTACTACTCATAACACTTTCAGCTAATTAAAAATTCAATAAACATTGTAAAATGAATGAAATTCATATTTTCTATCATTCTAAATCTTATTGATACATGTGAAATGAGATCAGAAATTCTGACTTTACAAAATGTCCAAATGATATTCATTGATGAAGTGTAGAAAATTAGTACAGTGTAAACTATTATCAATAAAGGATGATAACAATATTATAAGATTGATAAAATATGCACATTAAAACAAAGACCTAAATGAATTATAAATGAACAAAAAGAAATAAAATAAATGGTAAATAATGAAAAGAGAAGAAATAAAGAAACAAAATAAACTAGTCACATTCTAATTTTATACTTCAATATTGTTAGGATTTTTTTTTGCTTTCGTACTTCAACCAGGTACAGGATCATTGATTTCTACTGCACCAAGACCTAGTTCTAATCGTTCTGTGTCATCATCAACTTCATCATCATCTAAATGTGATGTAGGACTGCTACGATTTGAACTATTTGCACCGGCACTTCGCAACGGTGTTGATTGTCCTGATAATGATGGAGATACAGGTGCTGAATATGGTCGACTAAGATGAAAACTATGAGTCGATAAAGTATCATCATTATTGTTAGATGTGAATAGTTCTGGAGAGAATCTCTTTAAAGCCATTAATCTGGCACGTTGATAGTACTAGATAAAAAAGATATATATGAAACGTACTAATAATTAACAATGTATATGAATTATAACACACTTCAAAAGTGTCAATACTTTATAGGACACTAACTTTGTTAATGACATTCAAACGATAAGAGTGATCCATAGATTTATTATGATAAGCATAATAAAAATTCTGTTTTTAAAGTCAACATCACGTTGATGAATTAAAAAAGAACAACCAAAACACAGGCACAAAAATCCATGTCTTTATATCCAAAAAAGTATCCATGATATGGATGTATAGTTTATTAACACTAAAAAAAATTCATTAATAAAAACGATATATTACATCGGGAAATATTAAAATTAATTCTATCCTGTCTTCCTTATGACCAGTCGTGTTACATTCAAAGGCTTAAAAAATATTATGGAATGGCGTCTAGAATTGGTCAGGAAAGTTCTACTCACTACCTTCTCGTGGCAAGGGTGTTGTTTACGAAATTGAGAGGATGAAAAGCGAATATCCGGCTCTTTACCCGGATTGGTGGATATGGAGGATCCACCTAAAGGAGTTGGAAAACCCTGATTCCAAACCAATGGTGCACATGGGTTACAGGATCCCGAAAGAAACAAATGGCGTATGAACCAACTGTTGGTCACCGGCTACCATCTCCTTACATTGCTCCACTGCCTTGTGGATCAGACCTTCAGGTCGAAGGCTCCGGGTGTGGCCTCCTAAGAAAACCACCTGCTTCGGTTTGGGCACCCGGGCAGTATCACAGCCCTCACACATATCAAATGAACAACATTCAAGAACTTTTACACTTACACAGGAAAGATTTTTCCAATCTAACAGTTCACTTAATCGCTCAGTACGATTTCTTAAAACAATACGTTGACGACGAGAATATTGACAGAACTCAACCAAATACTACAGAGAAATTAGAAATAAGGTATAAAATGAAAAAAAGATTTAAAGAAAAAATTATACTCATGATATATGTTTATATTCACATACTTTACAATTCAGAAAAACAACCCGGCAACCTGATGGACAACAGCCAACTCCCTTTTAAAACTAAGCTATCCATTTTAAATTGAAGAAATTTTCTATATATGCTGCGCATTAGGAAATCATATATTTATCACGAATGATGATTGAAGACACAACAACACGACTACAGTTGTTTGTCTTAGACGCTTGAAAGGACGCAGTATGAAAAACCAAATGGTCAAGAAAACATTCAACAGAATATGATATTTGACTTTAATATTTTTTTCTCAAAGTAAGATGAGTCCAAACAACCTTGAAAGTTATTACAGAGTGCTATGTAAATTGTTAAATTTGAAGTTCTCACATCATAGGTTGACTTGGGTTAGACAATTATGAAAAGTTAATCAGTAGTGGATAACTCTGAACACCTCTAAAAGTGATGTTTTTCCTTAAATATTACTATTTGCAGAAATGATTTGTATCGAATATATTTTCGGTTTAATCTTGATATATCAATAGAAAATGACCTATAATTGGATGCACAGCACTCAATCACTATCCTGTCTTCTTATTCTATAAGATACATAAAGATACAGAAATATTCTCTACTTTAAATTGTGTCATATTTGTCAAATGAGTCGCCAAAGGCTGAATCCTATACATGACCATAAAATGAGTTCAAAAAGGGATTATGAACGAGTGAAATAGAGCCAACTGCAGGTGTAGGTTAATTCCGGTTTTGATAGTCTTGATGGTCTAGAAATACCTTGGTTAACTGTTGAACACTGTCTTCACAGCTTTGAAAACGACGATCAACAATGTATATTCCATACGATTTGGGATCCTCTACATGCTCTTCTATGAAGCAGCCAAATCCAGAAAGATTTGTTGTTACTGATGGAATACCCATTACGGTGCATTCAGCTTAAATGAAAAAAAGCAATATACAAGAATATTGAATAATTACTATATAAAAATGCACCAAATCATGTCATTTTTAAGTATCATAATAACGAATGAGACTTTCGTCACTACAGCTCATTAAACACATCATGTGTTCTAAAAAGGATGAAACGAGCTTCTTGGGCTCCACTGTTAATCACCATTCAACTCAACCTACTATACTTGTAACTTAATAGCAATACCGATGCAATCCATAAGGGACAAGCATATGCCGAAAAAAACTGATCAGTTCCCATCTTAAAGATCAATGGAAAGGTGAAAACAACCAATGAAACGGAATAATTATTTGAGCTTTTAGCTTGGCTGAAACATAACATTAATGTTATTTGCTGTATTCAATTCAATAAAATGAATTCAAAACGTTAACAGATTGTAACGTTTGTATTCAAGAAATATATACTGCAACTTTTCAGACAAAGAACAGTTGACGCTGACAACATTGGTTTTCCATAATTATTTCACTATCAGGCTGGTAGACACTTTCTAATGAAAGAAAAAATAATAACTAATTCATCAATTCTAGTTATACTAATTCTTAAAAGAAAAGTAAACAAATTATAGGAAATAATCGAAAGATTAAATAACTGGCTGTTAAACTAAGATTTGTTAGTAAAATTCAGACATCAGACAAATAAAATCAAACCTGGTGTATAACCCCATGGTTCATAATATGATGGGAAAACACCTAAATGACAGCCTCGCACAAATTCTTCATAATCCATCGGTAGTAGTGGATTGGTAGAACTTAAGAATTCAGGATGAAAAATAACCTATCAGTTGAAAAAACAAAACACAAATTATATACATGCACATCATACAAAACAGAACTCAGAAATAAAACAGTTATGATACATGATTTCTTTAATATTTTGTAACATCTTATCGACAGGTAAGTCATATGACAACGGTTTACCTTAAATAGAACAAAATAAAAATGTAATCATTCGATGTAATAGTTGGGAAATCCTAAGTAATTTTAGAGTGTCAAGAAATATAAGTTTACTGTAGTTAACGATGGGATGGCTTATTTCTGAGCAGTTTCCTCTGGACGTAATAATCAGGAATTTAATGATGGCTTTCAATGTTCCTGATTTGTCACCGAATACACATGGACGTATTCAAGAATACATATTTGATCTTTCAGAACATCTAACCATTATAACCAAAATGGAAAGAGCTGTGAGTATTTCATTAGGCGTAACTGTATATGAAAAAACTGTACCATTTATAAAGTACCTCAAGATGATTTTCAGTCAACTGACTTTCAATATCTTGAAAATTAAAATGGAGTTTAAAAATAATAACACAATAACAAATGGTTTACTTTAACACGATCATGACGATCATTAAATAACTGACACCGGCGTAAGTTACACAGAACTAGGTCGATATTATCTTGAACAACATTGTGTGTACAAATAGGGGGCAAATTATTTCGTTGTGTTGCATATATACAACGTTTAAGACGAAATACATCACCCTGAAAAACAAATATTAGTTGATTAGATGGTTACATACAAAAAATGACTGTAAAGCAAAATATATACCACAACATCGAAGGAACATTTATAACCATACCTGAGTAAGTATATCAGATCCTTGAGGAATAAGCCCTCGAAGACACACTTCAAATAACCTATGTCCCATTTCACTTTGAATTGAATTCACTGTTTCACGTAGTTGTTTTACAATAGCTTGTGCACGAAACGAATCCACGTTAAAACTATTCGTATGAGCTGGAAAAATGAGGAATGCTACGACAGTGACATCAGTTTGTGCTTGCTAAGACAAAAGAGAAAGAAGTTAAGAGGACTACTTGTAGTATGATATTCAGTTATAAAGCTCGTAAACAAATTACCTTTGCAAAATGAAAAAGAAACGTTTCATGAGTCTTATTGCACATTTTATTAAAACAGTCGGTCGCTTCCAACCAAATAAGCTTCGTGAAAAATCATAAGTTCTTAAGTAATAATGTGATGTCCTAGATATAGTAAAGTTTTGACAGTTTGACGATTGTACAAACAGATGTCAAGTTTGGAATTCTCGTGTACTCTTAATGTCGACTCACATATTTTTGCCTAAATAATCCCAGAGAAGAATGGAAAAATTCACCACATACTTAATACATTAATCGTAATACTATGAACATATTTTTCCTTCCGTCTCCATACTTTTTCTTTAAAGTTGGTCTTTTATCTTTAATGATTTTTCCTTTTCGTACTACTATCATTTTATTGACTCCTGCTGAACAATTCTATTTATGTTTAGGCTCCTATTGCAGCTAACATTATCCAATTTTCCCTTCTGGTCTTGTTGATTTCTCTCACTATGTCACAACTTGGATCAACACACATTCGTATCAGGTCTATGATTAACGGACTAATGATAGAAAACTGTTCACATATTGCTATCCTAATATTTTTTTCTTATAAAGTTGCATAAAGATCTGGACCAATATGTTTTTGTGCAAAATGCTATAGCGAATACATGATTTTAATAGTTGTATTCATGAGTCGATCTAAGCTAGAACACCACTGAAAATTTGGAAGCACCGGACAGCCGTTCCATTCTAGTATGGGACTCCTCAGCAGTGCGTATCCACGATCCCACACGAAGGACTCAAACTCAGGACCTTCGACTTCGCGTGCACGCCTAACCTTTAGACCACTGAGTCCCATACTGGAACAAAATGGCCGTCCAGTGCTTCCAGCTTATCAATGGTGATTCAGCTCAGGTTGACTTGTGAATTCAATTATTGAAATTAATACAATCTCTGCAAATCCCCATTCTGAGAATACATGGTTGTAGAGAAAAGAGGCTAATTAGATAAAAACATCATGAGTAAGAATAATAACACTACTTTTTTTTACTGCATAAATAAAAGATGGACCTCGAGATAAGTAGAAAACATAATGAGGTGTATGAAAACATGAATTGGAGACAGTTAGTCAAATAATTCCAGGTTGTTTTCGGGCAAACGATTCGAGAAAGTGATCATTCACTAACGAATCCAAAAGTTAATTAAATCTTGGTGTTGAATGCTCGAGAAAATTCCTTAAAATTATTCAAGATAAATCGTAATTTTTATACCTGTTTCTAAAACCAGTAAGCGTATTGCACGATATCTTTTGATTGGTTTTATCACCATTCAAAGACAGAAAGCTGACTATCATCGAGCATTTAAAATGATAAATACTCTGATCTCTTTGTTTTTTTAGATAGACAATTAGAAACATTTAATGACAATGTAAATTATCATCTTCAATGAGTGAGTCCAGAAAACAAAATTGCCACGTTTATGATCATACATGGATTTTAGTTTGTTTTAAAATACATCTAAACTCTATGTCATCCAGAGGTTGAAAATGTCTATTAGGCCGTCAGTTATGCAATTATAAATCGCTTGGTATTGTTATTATTGCAAATAAATTCAATAAACTAATAAGTAACAGAAAGATGGTGGATTGAAACAAAAATCTTCATTATGGATAATATGTATAGTTAAATAACTTTAATATCAACAATACTAGCATACTTTTAAATGATGATTAAGACGAGCCAGTGACTCGATAAATATATCAGCTCCTTTATTCTGGAATTCGTAACGTCCAGCAATGAAAAAATACAATGTTTTGTCCAAATCAAAATCATAATGTCTGAAAAAAACAAATATTATGATTTGGTTCAGAAAAATCTTTAAAAATCAACAAAGCTTATCTATCAGTTATGAAGACCATCAACTAACCCATAAAAATGTCCTTGAATAAATTGATTCAGCTTTTCTTTAGCCAATGCATGACGATTTTGAAATTCATGAAGTGCAGCAAATTTAATAACATTAAGACCATTTGGAGTGATGATGTCTGGTTCTCTTCGCAAAAGAAACTTACTTTCCAAGCCGGTAATTTTACTTACAGTTGTAAATACGTGTGCACAATGAACGGCCGCACGTTCAAGACAATAACGATGATAAATATTTCGATCGCCAGCTTCCTGTAAGAATAAAAACAATTAATTATGAATAGTTTACAAGAATTTCTAATTTTTGGATTTTTGATAGTCAATTAGGAATCGTCTGTCATCTTTTATTCTATATCTTACTTTTGTGTCATTTTTCATTACTGTTTACTTTCTCTATATATGCTGTATTCAATACTTAATTCCATTAATATTAGGTGTTTAGAAAACGGATATACATCATTCTGTAACTGAAAACTACGCTGACGGACTGAAACACCGCACTACAAGCTGTTTGCAGTAATACAAATCGTCACGTCAAAGTTTACGATGGACTGAAATATCAATTTGGAATACAAAACAAAACGCGCCAACAATGTTTTTATTTGACATTTCTATATTTTCTTAGAAATAGCTTTTTCTTCAAGTAATTTTTCAGAGATCGCTTTCATATTTGAAGACCCGCAAATTCTCAAAATAGGCAGATAATACAGTTCTATCTGATGAGAATTCTCCTAAAATTCAATGTTCTAAAGGCCTTGAATGACAAAGTATGAGAAAAGTCTCTCAAATTAAATATGATGTAACACTTTACAACCAGATAGTTAAGAAGTTTAATTATAGCTATGTTCGAAACCGTAATATTTATATCAAACGTACGGATAAAAAACTTTGGAGCTACAAAAAAAGAAGTCCCTACAGATTGCTAATTTATTCCATTTGTAGTACAGATGATACGTTCGTTTGGTTTTTAAAGCCCAAGTTCTCTGAGAAATATTTTACTCTATATTTGCTTACAAAAAGTCGAAATGTGGCCTTCAGAAATAGCGTACAGAGATAAGTTAAAAATATTTGGAACATAGATAGCCTTGACAAATTGCTTGGGTATGGGTAGCATCATTGAGTAATACACATGTTTGCCGCAAACTTGGCAAGTGTTTTGAAAAGCTTATGACTTGTATGATACATCTCAATGATTTTCTGTTATGCTTAGCTTTGCTAGTTGGGATAGAAGAGAAATATATAAATACGCAACGTACGTCAGAAGTCTATGAAGTTCTTGGTTAATGATCTGAGTTCAATAAGGACACGTTTACGTTTTAAAGTCCATGAAATACTAAAAAGATATGGCTCAGAATTAGTTGGTATTCATATGTACCAATCTATTACGTTTCCCCAAAGTTATGAACATTATATCATCATATACCTTTCATTCATCGATTTCATTGGTTAATTAGTTTATTTTTTCCTTCAGAAGTTATTTACTATTCTCGGTATTATTATTTTTAGTAATTTGTTCCTTTTCTCTGGTTTATTCCATCTAGACATATGGATATAACGTGCAATAACTTGAATCGATTAACATTTGTAAGAGGTTGTTTATGTCCGTCTATCCGATTTTTACTGATTTTAATGGTATTTTACGGACAGTTTGACCTTGAGGGAGGTTGAAAAAGTGCTGGTCAAAGATTTCAAAGTAGATTTAAAATACAAGGAAATTTGTAAACACAATTTCATTTCGTCATCTCAGAAACGCTATCTTGAAAAGATCTGGATAGCAAGTAATCTGATGAAAAATTTAGTTATTAGCCCCTGACACTATAATATTCAACACAACATACTGTTTCATCATAGAAACAGGGCCGACGCATAACAAAGGATCAGTACAACAATGCAAGAGGCAGAAACCCATAGCTTTTTTCGTATTTAAGAAAAATAAGGAGACACCATATGATTTTGAAAATTACTTTAGCTAAGTTTTCTTAAATGATGACTTAAGAAAAATGTATGATGGTTCGTAAACACCACTTTTTTCCGTATGTTTGATAGCGGAGCTGCATTCTCAGTCTCTTTTGTAAAAACGTTCTACTTTGGTAAGTATGATCTAAAATTACGAAATGCTTCTGTTGATCAGGAACATATTTAAGATTGAAGTTACTATAAAACATACAGAGTTACAATAACTTGGTTCCATTTTTAAAACCGAGAGATAGATAATTTATTGTAGCTATTCATATAATTTTAAATTATGGTACTAGAATTTATATGCTTAAATTTGAATCATCAACTTGTATAATTAAATGATTTTTTCTACAATATGTATATGTATAATTATCTTGTAAGGTACTTCAGTCACCGAGGATGATTTACAGTTTTACAGCATCCGCCAAACAGTATTTTATTGGTTCGACCGCTCAGTTGTGGGATAATATGATCGATGTAACCGTGGTATTCATAATCATGCTGGGACAATAGTCCCACATCTCAAACGTGATATAGTTACTATTTTAAATTCTTTGCCTTCAGTTTCTAAAAATATGTTACACTCGACTGCCAGATCCTCATATCCCTAACAAACAATAATAATTTGACAACATATACATCGAAGTGTTAGTCTGACTATCTATTTCAGTTGCTTTAAATTAATCCTCTTGCAGAGAAAATAAAACAGAAGAGAATCATGAAATTGCACGACATTAATTTTTAACGATGAAAATGAACATTAGAATGAACCATTTAGTGGTGAAACAATATGCGAAAAACAAGAACAAACCTTATCTAGATCAAAATCCGAAAGATGGTTATATAAATCAACAGAGGAAGCACACAAGTAACGACCCAAAAGTGTTGCATGTGTAGTGAACACAGTAGCAACAGGAAGGTGACGTGTACGCGTAAATACTAAACCAATGCTTGTAAGCCACTCATGAAAGTGTGCAATAATTGGTGGTTGAGGGTCAGTTTCTAGTTCTCTGACATTTTCAGCAAACTAAAAACATAAATAAAATCACAATTACTCAGAATTCATGGCAAGCGTGATGAATTAGCTTTGCTGACCTAAGCTACAATGCAAAACGAAGACATATTCAATTGATTACAAATTAAGTGGATATTCGTAGGTATCACCAAAAACAAATACTAAGAGTAAATTAGACAGATTTGAGTTTTTTTTAAATACTATGAATATAACGAACAAGTAGTTTTCTAATAATTAATAGTTATAGCACAAGAGATGTGAAACATTACATTTTTCGAGCCAATCATTGCTAAGTCGTCGGAATCAAATTTTTTATTTGCTGATAGCCACTTATACTTCTTCCTTGAGATCCGTACTGAGTTTTTATGTTGTCTAACTACGTTTAACTGGTGAACTATTTAGTAGAAAAGAAAATATTCTCTTCTTTTGTATTAAGAGGGATCCAGTTGAAACATCATGATTACAGCAATTTGTGAGAACAGAAATGAGGGTAGGACTTAGGGTTTTTATATAGATATAGTTACTCCTTGAATACAGATTAAGTTGAAGAAGAAATGAAGATGATCCAAACATCCGGCCCTGCTTATGAAGGTCACTATGTCTTTACTTTTATAACTAACAACATTTGAAGTCTGTCTTCATATCAATAAAAAATCATCTAGTAATATCCGGTTTCCTATAATGGAACGTCACAATCTCACCATTCCTCTTCAACTTTACCATCGATGACATTCTGGAAACAGCTCTGACGAATGTAAGTAATGGCGGTGTAGATGTGTTGCATGGAAAGACTTCTCGACCTTGAGTATGTGGATGATATCGTTTTACTGTGCGATAATGCCCAAGCAATGCAATCCGCACTTACTCAGTTGGCAATCAGTGTCCGTAGCTACGGTATGTGCTTTACACCTTCGAAATGCAAAGTACTTCTACAAGACCGATAGGATTCTAATCCTGTTTTCACCCTGGATGGTGAACAGACAAAAGTAGTCGAGAAGTTCGTGCATCTAGGTAGCTGCATAAGTGCTGGTGGTGGCCTGAGTGATGGGATAAATTCACGTATAGTGAAAGCCAGAGCGGCTTATGTCAATCTGGGCCATCTTTGGCGCCTTTGTGATGTCAGTCTGGCTGTAAAAGGTCGGATCTACAACGCGTTGGGGAGAGCGGTTTTACTCTACGCTTGTGAAACCTGGCCTCTCCGAGTTGAGGGTGTTAGACGACTCTCTGTGTTTGATCATCGTTGTCTACAAAGGATTGCTGACATCCAGTGGCAACACCGTGTTAGTAATCCAGAGGTTCGGCATCGTGTGTTCGCGCACAGAGACGGTAATGCGATTGGTGTCACCATCCTGAAACACCGACTTCGGTGGCTTGGACATGTTCTATGAATGTCGTCCCAGAGAATCCCACGTCGTGCATTATTTGCCGACTCTGGGACTGGTTGGAAGAAGCGGAGAGGTGGTCAGTATATGACATGGTGTCGTGGGATGAAAGAAAGCTGCAAAGGACTGGCTTCTGTTGGTTCTTCACGTCCTCCTGGCTGGGGTCCGAGAGATGGTGCAACACAGTGGCTAGAGACGTTATCAGATATGGCTCAGAATAGAAGCCAGTGGCGATCCTGCTGTAACCTTCTTTTACTTTCTTCATAAAAAGTGGTCGTATCTTCCTTAACTGAAAGAGTTCTTTCTGGCTGTACCTTTCCGTTTCCCACATTATTATTGTTATCAATATTTTTATTATTATTACTACATTACCTTACACTAATCTGTGGTCGTTATTGTTCTTCTTTTTCTCTTTTTTTCCTTATACGCACCTTACCTTCTTTCTTCTCTTCACATTCTCATTGTTTTGTGTGGCGCATACATATTTGGTGCCCCCTTGTATCAATATTTATGTGTTTAAATAAATAATCTACCATTACGATTAATGCATGACATTATCCATATATACATTAATTTTAGAATAGTAAATAAGAATTTCATAAACTAATCAAAAAGCCTTAACAAAAGCACCTTGTAAAAAGAAACAAATATTGTTAAGTCGTCTTCAGTATTTTATAAAGAACTGCTCATTAGCTTCGTACAATCCGTAAAAGTCATTACCTGAATTATTTCCATTTTTCACGATGCATAATAGATCTGTGAAACAATGTTTATTTCTAGTGTATTCAGAAACCCTTACTAGAAAGTTAGTTGCAAGATTCAAAACCTGAGACAGACTTCAGTGACAGTTAGTTAACTAATATAATTTCAGAAATATGCATCTACAACCATGTTAAGCAATAATATAAACCAAGCCATAGTACTTTGATCGATAGAAAGATGGGAAAACTTCAAAAATCTTGGTAAGAATCATCAATTAATAAATCACTTTAAATTCTGTGAATAAGATTATTGTTATCATTTCTATCACAGTCGGTCTGTGATTATTTAAAAGTACCTCCTAAACGTTATCAGTCAGTCATTTGTAACGTACAACCTGGAATTTACATGAATCAGTCAAAGTTGGTGTATCGAATCAGCACAAAGAGATGAAACCACCACAAAGAAAACCAAAATAGAATTTTTATCAGTGACAGTAAAACAACATTAGACAGAAACTTTAATCTGAGGAGAGTGAATAAATTAACAAAGTAAAACGATATTGAATAATTTCCGAACCTATAATCTAAAGGAAGATAAATATACTTACGTCACGGCTGCCGATTCTGAGCCATGCCACGAAACATCACAAATGACTGTCTACTACGTATGTGTAGACCTCAACAAAATAACCTGCAATTTTCAACATATCCTAGTCAAGAAGTCAATGACTTCATGGACCGATGTTACATTTGGTTTGGCCGTCCCTAGCTATCTTCCAATCCACTCCCCATTCCAATCAATATTGCTTAGTGACAACACATTTTATCTAAACCTAATTAGTAACATCAATTCGTTTGTGTAGAATCACACAGCGTACATGACTAAAATTTTCAAATTTCTTACCGATACAGTGAAGATAACCATATATAATGAATTTCAATCTGATACAAATTCACTTACTTCTTTCAAAAACCAGGCAACAAGTGCTCCAAAGATGACGGCATCATTACACTCAGTATCATGGACCGGAATCCCAATATTACAAGATTCCCACAGTTCTTTCTTCCAAGAATCGATGCGCCAAGCTGATGATCCTATGTCAAACAGAACAACGTTGGGATAGCCCTCAATAAGCCACCGACCAAAAACTACCTGTAAACAATGGGTGTAGTGAACAAGAACACGGGTGGGGACACCACATGGGTAAACATTGAATGGAAATATAGAAGAAATACATGACTACTGCCATAATTATTGTTAAAATTAGTTTTCGAGTGTGGACGTAGTGGCTAATTTGCCTAAAAAGTTACTCGTTTTAAAAAGGGACTCATTGACTCATAAAACCGTTTGAATATTCATGTAGACTACTATGGACGTTAACCCAAATAAGTGGTTTATCTATTTTACCAAAATCTAAGATAATCACTCGAATACAGTACGGATTTAAAAAACTAGTTTGAGAAAGGAACCCTTTGACAAGATCTCATGCTCGCAGAGTTCATAACCCTCTGACAGAGTTGATTTAACTGGACAAGGTAATACATAGACACACTACTATTAGAAATAATTGATAGCCTAATATCTATAAATAGCCTGAAGAGTAAAATCGAAGCAGTTAAGTTAAATTACACAATTACACATAAATAATTTTGAAGTAATTTAAAGGTAACTATAATTCTTCAAATCATCACCTGCTTTAACGGAACTATCAAACCTATAATTCCTATGTTAAATAAAACACTGCAGGGCAAACCAGTTAATAAGGCTACATTTATGAACAGAATGGTGACTGAGGAATAATTCATATATTCTTAGCTTAAACATTAATAGTTTGAATTACCAATGTCGATGAGATACTTTTATAAAAACCAAAACCTCTCAAATCAAACAAAAATTGATAGAACTTAAGTTCCAAATGTAAAATGACACGATGTCCATTCATTCAAGGAAAAAGGATAAGATCATACACACATGTTCCTTTATAACCTTAAAGATCTCCCTACTCAAGATAAGAAAACGAATGTAAAGACAATATAACACCAAAATGAATCAACAAATCAAAGTATTCTGATAAAAATATATAGATTTCAGTAATAGCATATAAAATCATGTCTAAAGGAAGAGAAAAAGTTTGTTCAAAAAGTCTAGAGTAATGTGATGAAAGTTTCAATTGAAAGCAGAAAAGAGGCGTCCGATAACAATGTGTAGGAGCCATTATTCTTACATACTGGAAATCTAAACGAACCTCAAAAAATCAATTTATTTGAGTAAGTTTAATACAAGAACTTCAGCCTCTTTATAAGGAACTTCGAAAAATTGAGAGTAAGATTATTTACAAATTTTAGCGATATCAGGTCAGCCGAAATGATAGAAGTGAGTTATATAGTGACATCTTTACTGAAATTTAGCCAACCCATTCCAAATTGTCAAAATTTATAATTGATCTTTGTGTTTATTCACAATAAACAACGCAAATCCAAATTCGATATGATAATCAGCAGTGATTTTATGCTCTTATTTTCTACCTGCTAACTGAGGTGAGGCGTTCAAGTTTGCATAGGGAATTTTTCTTTAAAGAGTCATCAGAAGAATAGTTTACATTCACGTTTATTTAGTCATATAATAATTAATTCAATGTCAAAACATATTGTCAATTTATTCTGTTAAAATCTCTTCTCATTTCAACAAAATCGTATATTCCATAAAATTCCTCATTCAATGGGCTCGAGGATGATAAATATTTTTTGGTCTCGGAATCTGAATTGAGTTCTCAATAAGTTGTGTTTATCGAGCCTTCAGCCTTGATCTTTAGGTAGGTCATACAAACTCAGGGTCACTCTTATAATGATGATTTCCGGGATCTTACAGTTTCGCGGTGTCAATAAAAAAAATACGAATACCTTGAAATTTCGGTATGTATAGTGATGAAAATTCCTTACGATTATTAGATATTCAGGAGCTTGAAATGAGAAAGATGAACAACAAAACTGAATTAGCCAAAAAGTGATTATCTTGACAGTCGGTTCTAGATATAATATGAAACAAGACTAATCCTCAGAACAAAAAACTAATGGCTAATCACATATACTACATTTTAAGCATTAGATAACTTTACATACCGATTGCATGATTACAAATCATCTCACTTTCGCACCAAACAAGAGAATTACAAATGATTTCCTATTATGAGTTCGACACTATGAACAAATTTTATTTGCGATGACTAACGAACAAAACTGCTTTGTAAACAACCAGATAAGCAATATTAGGCAACATTTAATAAGTAGCTAATGAAATACTGTTAGTTTTATTAACAGCTTAGCAAATAATGATGAGCTTCTAACATACACGTGATCCTGCAAACAACTTCAACTGGACAGATGACCACATAACTAAGCAAAGTCAGTACGGTTTAATATAATACATTTTCAAGTGCCACATTTGTTGGAACAATTTTCCATGGACACCAGGTGAATAAGTTTTCAGTGAACAAAAGTCTTATGGTCAAAATAAACTTTCCACATAGATAAATAATTCCTCGTTGATCCAGTAAATGTACATACTTAACCATAAGTGGAGTTTGTGGCATTATTATAGTTTTATTATCTATCATTATATTCCAAAATATCAACTATTTCAAAGTGATGTTCCCGAATAAAAATGACTTGTGATAAGTTAAAAACCATTTAGACGAAATCAGGCATTTGTTTTTAAAATAGAATTGAAAGGTAAGTATAAGATTTTATTTTTAAATAAGATAAAAGTGTCTATGGTGAGTGGTAGTTTCAGGTAAGACTAAAATCTATGAACAAACCAATCAAATTTAAGATAAGGTCTTGAATTTTGGCGCAAAATTAATTTAATTATTTGGATAAATAGGGTTTTGGCATTAAAGTCGATATCAGTTCGTGGTGAAAACCATAAATCTAATTCTTAACCCTATCTATCAACTGTAAATATTAATCCTGATTACTCACACTGGTTTATAATCCTCATTTAGCCTTAATATGTAGGTGGATATTCTCATGGTCTTTTCAGCGTCTCTCAAAAGTCGTCTATGAATTGTAGTCTCACCGCGTTTCATATTTAGAGAGCCTTGGATAATGATGAGTTTCGTACTTCTCTATGCGCCACAACTTATATAAAATTATAATGCACAGGATAACCAGCTGAATTAATATGAAACAGGAAATTATTTTAATTGTACGGACTTCAGAATATAATAGCTATAAGTCATAGACACCGATTATGTAGAGCTATCTCAAGAGAATCAGCAAAACCACCGAATAACCAGAACATAGAAATAGCTTTGTCTCGAACAGCAGATGAATCATACCAAAATTCACTCACTTTTGTGCCATGTTCACGCATGGCTTTAACAGTACGCTTCAATGCCTCATTTGTTGGCTCTGCAACATCTACTTCAGTCCTCATGCATACTTCATTAAGTGGGCCAAATAAAATATAACGGTCACCCAACTCCTCTACAGCAGATGCAGCCTTAGTACGGATGACAGTATATATCCCACCAACTAGAAGAAAAAAGTGATACTCGATGAAGTCATTTTGATAAGGTTAGAAATAAAATGTAAGGAAAGTAATACTGACAAAACTTTGACCTTTATTGACCACCTCCCAAGCCACTTCGAAAACATATTTGCGTTGGTATACTTCAGAGTTTATTGATTGTATCAATTCATCAGATATCAATGAGTCTCGATTATACCGAGCAACACTTGCTTTCCTTCCAAGAGTTGACATAATTCGCGCAATGCGTTCGTGACCCCCTAAATTAACTCTTTTAAGTTTAATAGCGTATTTAAACAAACTTATGCAATGAGTTTCAATTTAAAGAAATAATAATTCTTTCAATACAAGCTATGATTCATTTGTGTCTTGTGTTAACCATGACTATAGTTCCGGATTTACCTGTTGGTTGATTACAATGAGCTAGATTATTATTCCGTTATTAACGACATGGTTGTTGATGTGGTGAATAGCGATAGTTGTAGAAATGCAATTAAAGGTGAATTTGAATCTCTGTTTCACAATATGGTGTTAAAAAACGTTTAAATCTTTAATTTCTTTGGACAAATCACTTTTGAAACCATCAGGTTGCGCTTCTTTTTGGGAATCAAGTCTTTCTTATCAATTGAAAGACTTGAGGGACGAGATCAGTGCACTCGATTATACAGCGTACGGTTGAGGTCTTTGAAGTCATTTACTGTCGGACGTTTTTACTGCCCTCTGATGATTTTTTTAGAGTCTGTTTGTCATTGTTTACGTGATAACAGAAGTAAATTTAACGTATGGGTTCCTTGGGATGGTGAAGATCTTAGAAACTTTTTATTTTAGAAACGATTCATAAAGAGGATCTGCTACAGACATTTATGGGACTCTACTGTTACGTCATATAGATAAAACGGTCAAATAACTCCAAGCCAATTATTCTATACTAGGTCTAGTAGTTAAGTGGAACTTGTAGGTAATTCATATCTACCTTAATCACAAAGCCTACAAGGCCTACATTTTCGTCTTAGTGAGGTATATCTCTGTCCACTTTGTCAGTACTTCTTTTACCTCACCAAAATCACTGATGAAAACATGCTACATCTTTGCAGTCTGACATTTACTCCCACAACTGGTAAGGTGTCTGTTCCTGAGGCTGAACGGTTCCTAAGTTGTCCTACATTATTTATGACACAAACAACTTTGAGGAGGATATTCATTAGTGCGACTATTAGGTTCTGCCATAGCTTTTCCCCAAAGAAGGCTTTCTGAAGATCTGTTTCTCATGATGAAATGGCAAACAATAACGTCATGAATGGATGTGCATTCTTAGAACTGATATATCTTTATTACTAGGTTGATGCTAGAATTTTCGCTTTCGTAGTTCAGTTTTAGTAGTTTGTAGTACTGGCGTTCACATTTAATGGTTAACCTAATGAATCCACAACTATTGGTCGACATTTATGAGTAGTTCTATGCAACTTCGAAAGTGGCATGATGCTGCGACCAAATTTATATGGCCTTACACCTGTTATATCAGTTGCTATCTTGAGTTACCATATAGTGGGAGTCAGGAATATCATTTCGTATAAACTTTTAAAGATAAAACAGTCTTACCAGAAGAAGGCTTTATATAAAGAGAAAACAAAACGGCGTATCTTTGAGGGTTGTTTCAGTCATTTTTTAATGTCGACTTTGATATTTCTTATTTGATCCTTTGTCTTTAGTTACAATAAACAAATATTTTATCTTTTCTCGATACGAATTCACAACAGACCATTATGCGAAAATTTTCTTAAAATCTAAGGGACATGGCGAAATATTTCCGACATAATTAACGCATTGTTCTGATACGTTTGTGCACTATGCCAATTATCTGAAAATCCGAATTCAATATGATTATCAACAGTGATTTTATGCTCTTATTTTCTACCTGCTAACTGAAGTGAAGCGTTCAAGTTTGCACAGAGGATTTCTCTATAAAGAGTCATCAGAAGAAAAGTCTACATTCACGTGTATTTAGCTTTCGACGGCTTCAGGGTGATCAGTTTGCTCTGACCCCGGGTGGAGACCCACCATTGCACCTATATGGGTTAAAACTCACAACGAATCTTAATTGAGTGAGCCTGGGAGAGAGATGTCTCACAGTCCCCACTTTAAAGAATAATTACAATACGCGCGTCATTTTCTAAGGTCATTAGTATCTTTCCTCGGAGTATAATATGTAGTATTGATCGTTTATTTAGGCATCAAGACTACCGTTTTTACATTAGATGAGTCTACTTCAGTTAAATTAATCTCTAAGAACGTGGCCTTTTTACTAGAGAACTTTATCACCTCTCCTTTCTGAGTACAGATACAAAAAAGAGCACAGGTATTTTTCTTCATTGATTATATAGCTTATTATTGTTAGTATTCAAAGATTTTAACCTTTTGTACCAAATGAAGTCGGATTTTTTTACTATTCTTGTTAAGTACAGTAATACACAAACCTTTAATTTTCGCTCATATCACCTATCAAGCTTTAAAACACTTTTTCTAGATCTCGGTTTTTGTTGTTGTTCTTCCTGAGAGATCACAAAACAATCTTACGGCGAGATTTAAACATCGTTGTGGTTCACCTGAGTGCTATTTCACAGTCGATGATGGTGTGCAACGTGACAACTGCAATTAGTGGTGTCACAATGTACGCTACGGTCTCACACCGGCTGCATATAAATGATGATGCAAGCCACTATCACGTTGCTCTCAGATAAACAGGAGCTTCGATGACGAAATTCAGTTGATTGGCTGATAGACTAAACCGTAGGAAAGGTGTGGTGATCTTCTGCACACAAGTACCTCAACTTGTTGAGAGGGTGGCACATTATTCAGGGACATGTGAACTGGTACTTTACAGGCTGAAATATGGATGGAAAGATATTAAATTAGTTGTAGTAAACTGCAGTCGACAAAGTGTAATAGATGACTCCATCCTAAGCAAACTTAAGTCCTGGTGTAATAGGAGTAAGATCTCTTCGTAGGTGACTTTAATGCACCGTATATAGATTGAGTAAACTTAGAATTAGGGCCATCAACGATGTCGTTTGATTACAAATTATTATAAACTACAATATCTCCAGCTTCATTCCAGAAAATTGGAGTTCCCACCAGATATGACTGAGGAACCTCCCCATTTCTATTTGGCTTGGTCTTCACACCCGTTGATGATGTTGGTCAAATGACTTTCCTCCTACCTCCAAAGAGAAGTGATCATACAGTCATCGTATTCAAGTTTATGGCTGAGATAGCCTGTCAAATAGATGTGCCGGAACGTCCTATTTTATGGAAGGTGAACATCGAGGCGATAAACTCTTCGGCATCGGCTGTAAACTAGATAATTTACTTCGTGGCATCAGTGGTCGATGCACAGACTCATTCCTGGCAGTTATACAATCAGGTAACCCGATAACACATACCCTGTACAGTCCCTAAGATAAAGCAGCACAGCCATTCCTGGATGGGCCGGGATATTTGACATTTACTAGAACAAAGTGTCGAAACGGGCTGCAATTAAACGCAACTCAATTTCGTAAATGTGCCCTTCAGCTTAGCAACCAATCGGAATGAGGCGGGAATTATTACATCCGCCATCTTCGTAAATAATGGCGGTCGGCTTTCTTCGTTCTGTGCTTCTTTCAGCTATTTCTTTTGTGTAGCTACGGAATTTGATGTTTCAGTGTGCTAAAATCCAGAAGTTAGTGTAATACTCTGAACGTTGGAGCAACGTTTTTCCTGATTTTTCTTTGTTTTCTGGGTTTTACCTGCTGCTAATGAAGTCACCCAGACAACCCAAAAAGGGGAAATAAAGGGGAAAAAAGGGGAAGTAAAGGGGTAAATGCTTTGGTAACGAAAGGGGAAATAAAGGGGAAAACGCGCCAGAATGTCGCCTTTTTCGCCTGTCCGGGGAAAATAATGCGGATTTTCCCCTTTTTCGCCTTTTTGTCGACAAATTACGGACTTATCGCCTAAATATCCGCCGAATTGTCGCATTTTCGCCTAAATTTCCGCTGAATTGTCTACTTTTCGCCTAAATATCCGCCGAATTGTCGCATTTTCGCCTAAATTTCCGCTGAATTGTCTACTTTTCGCCTAAATATCCGCCGAATTGTCGCATTTTCGCCTAAATTTCCTACTTATGCGCTTAGTTTTCTACTTTTCGCCTAAATACACACATTACCTCCTATTTTCCATCCATCGACAGAACAAAAAACGTCTCCTATGTTCGCCTTTATTTTCAACAACAGACGAAAATATATCTGCAATGCAGTTGAAAAGCGGTAAATTTTTTAAAAATTTTATTTAAAAGGAAAAGCGTATTATTGTACAACACTAGAGCAGAAGCTTAAGCATCTATTGTTTTGCATATCCAATGCAATTGCTAATTCATTGTTATTTGAAATTATCTGAAAAAAAGGAACAGGTTTTTTTTATTTATAAGGAATGTGCACTTAATCAAAAGTTCACTGACACTCAAACACACATTCTTAACACTTCAACAGTTTCCCACGTAAGTAAAAGAGTAAGCTGTTTGAAAGAATGTTTATTGAAATCGAGGTAAAACATCAAAACAATTGCACGGACTATTCAGAATTGAGGTAGTCGTCCTGTGAATTCTGAATAAACAAAAAAAGAAAAAGAGTGATAACCATATCTCAATGACATGCTTTGGCACAGCCAAATACTTGAAGCTGAACTTACGGTTATGTTCGTTAATATTGTTGACTGTAACTATAGAGCCGTAGGGAGGTTATCACTTTAAATTAGTACATACCTGGTCTTGTTTTCTTCTATTACGCTTTATCATCTTGTCTCGGATATCGTGAAAGTAACCTTGTGTCGCGATGTCATAGAGCTTACCAAGGTCTTTTTCGTTGACAGAGGATGACAGAAAGCGATGAGTTAAGGCACCTGAAGTTTAAGTAATAGATATAGGTTACTTCGTATGCAGCCGTAAAACGTGCATTTCTGAAGTGCTCGTTTTGAAGAGGTGCCAAGTAACGTGAATTTACTGGCAACCTCAGGTGTCAACAGATACGACAGAACAAACCGCATCGACGTTTTTGGATCGTCACTTGATAACCTAGTGACCATTGCCATCTGTAATAGTATCAAATTATTAAATTCATGTTAATGACTTACAAATCTGTCTCTGGTTTCTTTCTGCGACAAACCAGTATCCAGCATCTGTAGTTCCTCTTCAGATGACAAAG